CTGACCCTGGCCAGTGGACTAGTCCCTGACCCTGGCTAGTGGCAAGGATCCCAGTTTGGAGAGGATTGAGGGGTGATGACCACAGAACTAGGAACTTGCTGGGGACCGGATCAGCACCCCTCTGCCCTCTCTCCTGCTGAGGACTGTACCCTTCAAACACACAACACAAAGAAAGGAAAGCCAGTGAAGGGATGTCTCACACTCAACAGGCCGGGAAGAGCCCGACACCACAGGCTCCACTCACCTGTTCTGAGAAGATGCCATCCAGGGTCTTCACCTCCTGAGCCGCAGTGGAAGATTTGGGCTTGTGGTCCCCATATCCCTGGAGAGACAAAAACAGACTGTGGCAAGGTCTAACAAAAGGGGAATGTGTATTTCCAGGTATCTCTCACGGAGGTAAGAGATAAGGACCCAGTCACTGTGCTTATGGGACAAAATGTGAGGCCAGCCTGGTCTACAGCATGAGCTCCAGGACAGGCTCCAAAACTACAGGGAGAAACCCTGTCTCAGAGGGAAGAAAAAAAAAATTTTTTTTTTTTTTAAATTTTTAAAAAATTTGTCTTGGGGGGGGGCTGAAGAGATGGCTCAGTGGTTAAGAGCACTGGCTGCTCTTCCAGAGGACCTGGGTTCAATTCCTAGCACCTACATGGCAGTTCACAACTGTCTGTAATGCCAAGATCTGACACCCTCACACCAATGCACATAAATAAAAATAAATTAAAAAAAAAAATTTTGTCTTTGGGTATTTTGCATGCATGTGTGTCTGTGTTCTACTTGTATGCCAGGTAACTGCAGAGGCCGGAAGAGGGTGGTAGATCCCCTAGAACTGTAGTTACAGAGAGTCATGAGCCACTCTAGGGTGCTGGGAACCCTCTCCAAGAGCAGGCAATGCTCTCATCTGATGAGCCATTGTCTCTTGAGCCTCAGAAGATCAAGTGTTTTTTGAAAAAGGGTCTTGATGTGTAGCTCAGGCTGTCCTGTAAGTCATTAGGCCACTGACGCTCCCTCCACTATGCAGTGTAGGCCGTCAAAGACCATTCCTGATGGGCCCCAAAAGCTATCCAACAGCCAAGTATAGTGGTGAACGCCTTTAATCCCAGCACTTGGGAAGCAGAGGCAGGCGGATCTCTGAGTTGAGGCCAGCCTGGTCTACACAGTGAGTTCCAAGACAGCCAGAGTTACATGGTGAACAGCTGTCTTAAAAATTTTAACAGAAGCTGGGCATTGGTGGCACACACCTTTAATCCCAGCACTCGGGAGGCAGGCAGATCTCTGTGAATTCCAGGCCAGCCTGGTCTACAGAGTGAGTTATGGGACAGTCAGGGCTGTTACACAGAGAAATGGTTGAGAAAAAAATCATCCATTCTCTGAAAACAGAGAAATGGAGGATGGTCCCATCTCTCTGATGCCTCAGTAGGGGTCCCTTGGGTCTGGGAGACCTGGAGTGGCTAGTGGCCCACGGACACACCAGTGATAGCTTGAGGGCCAAGGACAGCCCTGCCTCTGACTCCACCAATGAGAAAACTTCTTGTCCCAAAGGACGATGGAATAAGGAAACATAAAAACAAAGAACCACGGGCCAGGCCACACTGAGAACGCAACCCTGGCCACAGGAGATGCACAAACCCACAGCCAGCCTTGGCCTCCACACAAAGCTAAGACTCAAATGGCACAGAGCTGTTCCTAGGATGGGACAGACTGAGGTTAGAACCAAGGGCAGCTGCTTCTGACCTCGCCCCAGTCACTGGGGCTGAAAACAAAGTGTAACTCAAGTTGGAAAAACGAAAAATAAAACCATCCAGTCTTCTGTGTGGCTGACCTGACGGTGCTGATTTACAGCACAAACCAAGAGCCCTGGCTGCCCACTAAGCAGAACGCTGGAGGCTACCGGAGCCAGGATGATGCACGCAGTTCACGAAGACAGTTTCCTGTGAGCATGGACAATGGATCCCAACAGCAGGAAAATATCCCATCACCGGAGGCCCACAGGTCTGAAGCCTCCCACCTGTCCGTTCTACAGCATGGATGACAAGCAGTCTCACTACCAACCAGCCAGGACAGTGTGAGAACTTAAAAGCCAAATGTGACCCAATGTTACACATGACAACTAACTGTCCTTAACAGACAAGGAAACACCATCCATGTTCCTCATGCCCAGTCTCAGGCCTGTCTTGGCTAGTCCAGCTCTTCCCAGACCCTAATGAGGGCTTACCAGTTCCCCGAAGGTTGGCGACGGACCCCAGCTGATGGTACTCTCATCAGCTGCCACAATGATGCTGCTCTTCCTGCAATAGGCAGAAACTGTCACCACCCATCCAAGGCCAGGACACCTCTTAACACACCCACCTCCATACTGAAAACTCAGTAAGGGGTGAGAGGCTCCTCCTGGTCAGGGATAGTCCATATGTTTGCCAGTCAATACTAAAGCCAGGGCCTCACTGCCCTTCTGTCCTGGGGCTTTCCGAGGGAGAGCCCTTTGGGAGAACCACTAAAGTAGGGAGGGGAGGAGGAGGTCACACACATAAGGACAAAGTGACAGTCCATCCTCAAGGGAGAGTTAACAAGAGGGACCTGGGGCGGAGGTGGAGGACAGACAGACCCAGGGGACCAAGAAGCCCACAGCTAAGAGCCAAGCCAACCCGCACACACCCACAGCTGTCACCTCTAAGTACTGGCCAATTCAGCAGGTCCCTTCAATGAGAACACCAGATTAAAAGCTCCCTCCCCACTGTGTGGAGAAATTAAAACCCTATAGTTTCCAAGCTGAGGGAAACCTGGCCAACAAAAACTTTCAAAATTACTTTCCATGAAGGAAGGAGCCACCTGTCCTAGCCAACCAGGCCCCCACTCTCCCCTCTCTCACATTTTGGGGGTTTGGTGTCTCCTATGTCTGGCCAGGAAGACCCCAAGTCAGCAGGCAGAGAAGTCTTCCCAGGGACACAGGCACACAGGGCACCTAACACTCACAGGAAGGAACTGCCCTGGACGCAGCCACTTACCCACAGGCGAGGCTCCGGATCCGCCAGCCACAGAGGTCCTGCACTGCTTTCGGGTACATGGTAGACTCACGAGACGTATTGGTGGCCCCCCAGAAAAACAGGCCACCTAAAAGGAAGCAAAGCACGTTAGTGTCACAGCAAGCATCTCAGGACAGACAGCAAGGTGATGGACATCTGCTTAACAGGACGCTGCACAGATAGCGAGCCAAGGACACACATGGCTGTGGGCCCTGTGGGAACAGCTAGCCCCACAAAAGGGGAGGCAAAACCTTGCACCCGGCTCCAACCACAGGGACCCGGGAAGTCAGGCCGGGGAACCGCACTGACCCACTTCACTGACAGCAAAGGAGCAGGTGTAGCCCGCGTAGATCTGGGTCGCGCCA